GAAAATGGGACTCTTGTTCTTCCTCTCCTTTTCCACTCCCTAATGATCATGTACTTGAACTCTGAAAAACAACACAGTGTGTGTTCTTTGGAACTGCTTCAAAGTGTGAAGAGAACAAAGAGATTAAGGGGGAGGAACAGCACAAGGAAAAGTGACAATCCTTCATATAAAGGGTCTCATAGCTTAATGTGGCAGTTCTGGGGAACGAACTTCCTGCCCTTCCTCTCCTTTTCCACTCCCTAATGATCATGTACTTGAACTCTGAAAAACAACACAGTGTGTGTTCTTTGGAACTGCTTCAAAGTGTGAAGAGAACAAAGAGATTAAGGGGGAGGAACAGCACAAGGAAAAGTGACAATCCTTCATATAAAGGGTCTCATAGCTTAATGTGGCAGTTCTGGGGAACGAACTTCCTGCCTGTCCAGGTCGCTGCGATGTACCAAACACCTGACACAGAATGTTGAGTTTCTCAGCTTTAGTTCAGCTGCTGTTGCTGCAGCTCTGCTGCCTTATGCTGTGCTCTGCTCAGCTGCTGTGTAGCTGTCCTTCAGTTGCAGTATTAAGATTTCATGTTGTGGGAGTTTCTCTAAAACATGTATTGCAGTCTGAAAAATTATTTAAAAATGGGAATCTGAATCTTTTGAATATTTTTCTAAGCAAATAAATAATCCAGTCAAGCTACATGTGTAACTAGTAATTATATCCATCTGTGCCAGTCAGGAAACAGTAAGCTTGGTGCAGATGGCATCTGCATTATCTAGTCTTGCCATCTTTCCTGCATTGCTCAGATGGAGTTCCCATTAAATTTGTATTTTAGGAAAGTTATGCTACATGAAAAAGGATAGGTCTGTCTGGGACAGAAATCCTGACGGAAGTAAGTAGTTTCACTTCATTGTTGTGGTGTGTGTCAGTACTGTTCAAAAAAGAGGAGGAAGAGGGGAAGCAGAAAAGCTGCTGTTGTGCTATCCAGTTACTGTACTGTCACTGTTTGCCTAACACCTGAACCCTGAGCACCTGCAGGTCTGTCCCAGTTCAGGGGCTGGAAAGCAGTGACCTCACCTGAGAAAGGCACAACAAGGTTAGTCACAAATGATTTACTACTAATATTCCTCACCACCTTAGGCGGAGGGAGATCCACACCTGCTGGAGCAGAAGACATGTAAAAGCAGTTCAGAATGTTTTGTTAGAGGTGATCAGTGGTTTATAACTGTTGGCTAATTTAGAGCACTTTGATATATACAATGTTTATGCTTTAAAAATACCAAAAAATATTTCCAAAGTAGTACTTGATTGTTCTGTACTGTACCTCCCCCTTGGCTACCTGTGCCATGGCTGAGCTCTGGCTGTACTGTGCTCTGACACTTACCTGTACAGGTTGTGCGGTAAACAACTCCAAGGCTCTTCCTTACAGCTTCCCTCAGGACGTGGCTGTCCCAGGGAGCAGCTCTTCAGCAGGGCAGGGTTGGGGCAGTGCCAGGGTTGCACACAGTGCCCACCACAAAGGCTGCAAAAGCTGCCTGGACATAAAATTACCACCCAGTTAAACTGATGTAGTTAATAAACTACGCTACCATATTAATTAAGGTAGAGTTTCAACCGTTTAAAAATAGCCATTTTCCACCGAAATGTGAAATGCCGTAAGTATGGTAACAATATTCTTAGACAAACTTATCTGGATTAACTACCTTAATCTGCTTATTTTCGTCAACAACTCAACTCAGCCTTTTCTGAGCGTAAGTAGATGAAATCAATAGAATTCCCCCTGAGCTTCTCATGTGATGGAAGCTACAGCAGAGAACAGAACCAGTACAGTGCCCATAGCAGGACACTCTTGCTGGTGCTGCCCATGGCTCAGTGACAGCCCTGCAGCAGCCCCAGGCCCCACAGCCCCTCTGCCCACCCCGAGGACACACTGCCAGCACAGGGATGCACAGCAGTTTGCTCCACCCCTCTGCAACGGCATTACTGCATTGTCCTTCCTCTGCAAGCCTTAAGCCTGCAAA